CCACAGTGCCCCAGATGTTAACCTCAGTAAACAAATGGAAAGCAAGTCCTCAGAAGTTCCAGCAGAGTCTAATGCTATTTTGGAMAAAACACCTGGGAATGGTTYATTTGAAGTGAAAAGTCAAACGACAAGATGTGGACGAGTAACAAAGGTTCCCCTACGATTCAAAGATTGAAGGACMAAATGGACATTGAACTATCCCCTGAACTTTAGAGAAACTTGAGTTTATGACATTTCTCCGTTATATTGTTGTTACTGTTCATGATTTGTTACATTTTAACATTAAGAGGGGGATGTTATAGTATCCCTGTGTTATGTAATAAGAGTAGGACTAGGTCGAGTTGAGTCTTAGTCAAGATGGCCGATAACTACGAATAAACAACGTTCCAACAGTGTCTTTTAGTCCTTTAACAGCGCCCGCGATTTCGACAGTCTGCAGTCTTCGTTTCAAAAGCGATCGGCCTCGTGGTAAAAACTACGTAGCATCGACGACCTTGAAGATTAAAAGGAGTTGACAATGAAGGAATCAAAATCACTAGAAGCCCACACTAAAAGATGCTCAGCGTGGTTTTCGGAACGGGCCGGTCCACGATCTTAGCAAAGTTATAGTTCACACAAAACCTCAAATCATTCGAATATCAGTACCCACCTAAAACTGACATACAATGCAAACTGACTGTATGAATCCTGAGATGAAGTCAAATGCATCTGAAGTCAACACCGAAACTCAAAACTTGTCAAAGAGATCAATTAATCGTTGTTGGGAAGAAAGCCGCCGCCATATTGGAGTTTACCTCGCAGTAGACTCAAAAGAAATTGTTCATTTTCTTATCAGTATTTTAAAACCTGTTAAAACATTCCTTGCAGTGAGTATTTGGTTTCTTATATTTATACTTATGATACACAGTACTTATAAAGACCCATTCGGCAAGGTTTTTGTCATGTTTATTGTTCAAGTTTCCAACTACTCAAAGCCTGACTGAAAGCTTAGCATCTTTCCCCATTTTTGCATGTGCATGGATTTTCAATGACAAAGAAAAATGTTGTACAAATGTTGTACAGTGTACAATGTTGACCCTAGTGTTCAGGCACCATACAGACAAAGAAACATGATATTTAGGGATATTTTATGCTGGTCAAAATGTGTTGCAAAAAGTCTATGTGCATTCACTATATGAAAGAAATGAAAGGAATACACAAGTCTAATGATTTAAAACAAATCCTACAAATGTCCTACAAATCCTACAAATGAGCTCTACAACAACTTATCACAATAAGCACAACATTTGTTCTTAATGTTAACAGAATTGCCTACAATGCTTACAGTACTAGATCAAAATTATCAACTAGACTATTGTCTAAGCCACACTGGTACTTTATACATGGTAAAAATTATGGATATAAATTTTGTATAGGACTTAAAAGAGCTTTTGTGATATTGATATCACAATAAATAAAGATCATTTATCTTTGTTGATTGCATTGGGGTTGATATTATTCACTGTATTTAAACTGCTCATATAAAGTATTTGACTCTCATGCTAGAGAAATATAGAAAAAGTCATCCACAAGGGAATTTGTGCTATTTCATGTATCGTCTACAAACAATTTGATGCAGTCTTTTCAAAGTTTAAATGGGTTTACAGAAACATTGAATTAAGGCATAAAAATTGCTACTGCTCTTATAGCTATAGCAAACAATAAAACAGCTGATAAAAACAATATAGCAGAATCACAAAACATTGTTGAGAGCTGTTTTGCAAAATCCCTTTATTCTATTTTTTATTTGATAATTACAACCTGCAATATTTATAGGACAACAAATACATTTACATTGCAATTGAAAKAAGTGACTCGCAATGCAACTTCTCTAAATCTGAATTGTTCCTGAAACACAGATTTTTAATACTCAAATAAAAAATGACCTTGCTAGAAAACAAACCTTCATTAATGGTTTTATGGAAAAGTGATAAATCAAATATTGATGAAAATAGGCTCCAGACTTTATTTTCTCCATGAAAATGCATCTCAATTGGAAATTGCTTCAGGAAGCCCATGTAAGCGCTCTCTGAGCGGCTAGTTAAGGTTTTTTAAAGCCTTAACTAGCTACTTAATTATTTAAAAATTAAGTAGAGCAAGTTTTCCCTGCGAGAGCGGCTGACGTCCTATTGGTTGCTTTCTATATCGCTTACCATCACTAGTAATCACTATGCATCACCAACCATCACTAGTCATCACCGACCATCACTAGACATCACTAGACATCAATTACACCACTATACATCACTATCAATCACTAGACATCACTAGACGTCACTAACCATCACTAACCATAACTAACCATCACAAGACATCACTAGCCGTCACTAGACATGACTAACCATCACTAGGCATCACTACTACCGATGACTATTGATGTCTATTGATGTTTAGTGATGGATAGTGACGGCTAGTGATGTCTAGTGATGCATAGTGATGTCTAGTGATGGTTGGTGATGTCTGGTTATGGTTAGTGACGTCTAGTGATGGCTAGTGATGTCTAGTGATGGCTAGTGATGTCTAGTGATGGGTAGTGATGGCTCGTGATGTCTAGTGATGGTTAGTGATGTCTAGTGACGGCTAGTGGGCTTGCTTCAACTTTTTGGGGTTTAGCATCTATTTAGTATCGTGAGAATGGAAATTTTGTGATTCACTGTCTGCGATAATATGTGCAGCAGTAAGCCATCTAATATGCTGTGACATGTGCCCATATTATTAATAATAGCTAATGCTGAACTATTGTCAATCATTAACTTGACATGTTTGCCTATTAGGTGAAATTGTAACTTATTCATGCATGCGTTGCACTCTCTCGTACCAGTCCCTCACGACATAGGCTAATGACGAAATAGAATTGTTCTTATTTGGTTAAAGTATATGTTTTCTGTAAAGGATTGATATATTGTATATTAATGCATTTGTTTCATTACTATAGAGCTGTTAGTCAGTTATAATGACGAAGATATTTACCTCTTCGACACATATTCAAGGTTTGTTGTAATACAGTTTGTTTCTGTTTCTATGGAAAGGTACAATAATAATGCCACAAATGTGGACCAACATATAAGCCCCTATGTTGACCTAAAATTCAAATTAACTCATATAAATAAGGATAGAAATAGCTTTCTTCATTGCATCGTTTGCTTTTTTTAAAGTTTGGAGCAATATTTGCCATTATCCAGTTTTCTGRTACTTAACTGGTGTGTAGATGTWACTTTGTTAACTCATTGTCGACTGATGTTGATTTGTTGATTTTTGAGCTTTTTCGACCCTAACATCTTGATAAAATAATTGACTTCCATATAAGGTGCTGTCAATAAGACTATTTCGTATTTTTTATGCGTTTTACATTTAGCACTTCGTGCTTTTGACCGCACATTTTGATCTATTTCAAGCATTTTTTTAGATTAGTTTTTGACTTCGGGAACAGAATGAATCGTCCTCCATTTCAAATGGCTTGGTAGAGCTCAGCTGCTTTACAAGTGCCCCAGCAACACCTCAAAACCATCTCAACTCTGGACTTTGTTTACATTTTTTGTGGGACAACATGGCTGCCATTACGTGTCCTCTATTCTGATTGACCAACCCCGCGCGCGCGAATGACGCGTTTGATTTGTCGGAACCATGAATTCAGAAATCAGCAGAAATGGTTCATGACAAYATTGTGACCTATACTCATGTAATATAGCCTGATCAAAAGTTGTGGTTATTTAATAACATTTTGGTGTAGTAACCTGAAGTGTGTCAAATGTGATTTTGAACAAAGACTTAAAGATTTGCTCCTTTGCCAATTATATGCAGAGAAATGTTGTTTCAATGTTCAAAATTATGCGTGGTCATCTACTTGGCAAACATAAATAGATTTATTCGTGATAAAAATTGCTTTTTCTTTCTATTAAAATTATATTTTTTAAGTTCCAAATAGCCTATTCCAATTCTAAAATCCTGTGTTGTATATTAATCTACTTGTGCGGGATGTAACTCCTATATTAGGGAATCTACTCGCCATTTTTCAACCAGAATACTTCTATCCAGTTGAAATCGGACGTGGCACAGAAACGAGGTTTAATAGTCCCAAATTCAAGATGGCGAACGACGCAGTAGATGACACGATCGATAATAATAAAGTTTTTTCCGGAAATRTAGCACACAAAAATGTTGCTCACGCTGCTCGGCCAACACTAATTAACTAGTGTTGTATCAGATTTACAAGGCCAATTACCAGCAGTATAGGCTGCACCGGCAACACCTGGTGAGGATCGAGTAGAATCGAGAACCTCTTGAATCGAGTAAAATAATTAGTCGGACTAGCCGAAGGCTAGACTTTAGTTTTACCTTTTAGCCTATCAATCAATCAATCTATCTATCTATATATCTATCTATCTATCTATCTACAGCCTTTTGCACAAATTATGAGACATTTATATATATATAAATATACCTAACCAAATATCAAAAACACCCAAGAAATTATGGCATACCGTCGCTGATATTTTGTCTGTAACAACCTGATGCTGCCTGCCTGCCTGCCTGCCTGCCTGCCTGCCTGCCTGCCTGCCTGCCTGCCTGCCTGCCTGCCTGCCTGCCTGTTATTACATGCCTGTTATTACATGCCTGTTGTTACATGCCTGTTATTACATGCCTGTTATTACATGCCTGTTATTACATGACCGGAAGCTCAAGCGTATTGATGTACGAATATCGTTAGTAAATGTTATATGCTACTTGGCTTTTATATGACAAAAAAACTATTCGTTTACAAATGTGGTATCTGTGATCTCATCGGAATGCATCTGTCTAGGCATTAGTAGTACGCGCATGTGCAGATCGCATAGAGTTTCGAGTTGTATGCTTACAAAACTGAATCAATATSSTTTCTAGTGTTAGACAGTCTTGTGGGGGCAAAGATTTCAAATTAGAACAACAAGAAACTTTGTTGATCAATAACAAAAAGGCGACTTTGATTATTTTATAGGCATCTTTTTAAAAGTATTTATTTCCTTGGCCTGAGAGGTCAACAATTTGAATTAAAAACGTATTAGATATGATATCACTTAAAGACATCTAGTCTCTAAGTATTAATTACATGACCTTTTAGGTCAAAATTTAGATTTCTATCGTTTGGAAGTCGTTGCAGAGAGCAGTCGAAAAGAATATCATATCGTGTGAATAAACGGTCACGCATTCTTGCTTTCACTATGTATTAGAAGTAAAAAATATTCTACGCCATGATATACATTCAAAAATAGCTAGTCCGACTTCACGCTCCGAGAGCGTCTAGTTTTTTAATAAATTCAGTGACGTTACCTGTTCAATAGGGTGCGTATAGAGTCATATGCATCAAGTAAAAGATAATTTATTCATTCCTGCCGTGACGTCACCCTTTTATAAGTTCAGGCTGCATATTTGGGGCCGTATTTTTTATGAGATTTGTGGTGAAAATCTGTGGGCACTCATGAATATTTATGGMTTAATATATTCAGTTTTTTGTGGTCCTTTCAATTAATCTCCAAACAATAGTCCTTGTTCTCTATTGTTTCACCTAAGTGCTTATTTATTGCTTGAATCTGGCCTGTAATATTTCATGTTGAAGGTGTATGGTGTAATGGATAGAATTATGATTGAAGAAGCTGAAAAGGCTGAACATTCTTTCCTGCTGGCGCTGATATCAACGGTCTTGCAACTCTCTTATGCTTCTTTATGCGAGTGTGAAATTTGGTAACTGATAAATTCTTCGTGTGAAGGCTGCAAACTTCAAATACCAGGCAAAAAAGACCACATTTGCATGATGACCAAAATCATTCAACAAGTATTACGACGATGCCATGCAGTTAGTGGATTCCGATCGAGTTTGGGAATTAGCCAATGAAGTATGTGAGCACGAGAACCTCGATTTGAAAATTCACCCTGCGTGGCAAGTTTATTCCTGAATTTCACAAGTTTCCAGTAATTATACAATATGTACTAGGTTATACTTATTTGTCCATTTTGGAGGGTTGAAGATACGATACGTATCGTCTTTGCACGTGCCGCTGTGTAACGTCTTCGTTCTTTTCCTGCCGTCTTTGGCTTTTTCGCTCTTAGAATCTCTTTTTAACAATATTCTCTGCTCCTCTATCTCTTTGCTCTCTTCGCTCAAAGCTCCCGTTTGTCCACGGACGCTTTCGATAACACTTTCTCTTAGAAAGCTTGTCCTGTCTTTATCTGACGGCCGAAGTACTTCCCATGAATAAACTAATAAAGAGTCCAAGTTTTATCTTAAGCCTTCAAATGTTCTCCTTCGTCGTTCTTTCTAGTAACCCGACGAAAACGGCTCCCTCAACTTCTTAGGTTCGTAACCTGTGTATATATCTCCCCTCCAAACCTATGCAACGTGAATTTATATCCACGCTGTTTTACATATTTACATGGACTTACATGGCGTCGTTTATATTTCTATAGAAAATTAACTACTTAAATTAAGGGAAACATAATCCTAGAATAAAGAAAACTTATTAAGGCGTCGAACCGTCACTATAATACCGTTGTTGTTTCAATAAAAGTAAGTACAAAAATTCTGTACTTATTTTATGCACTACAATGAGTATATGAGTTTTTAAACCCTAATACAGGAAAAGTGTATGACACATATGAGTAAGGGGCATCAAAATTACTGAGCCTGTCTCTGAAATATCATCTACATCATTGTCTCCAAAAATATTTTGCAATATTCATTAACTCTATATGCTAGTTAATTATTTCACCTTGCAGCTGGATGTTTTTGAGATGGTGTAGCACACATGACGTCCAGGCACAATTCAAGCATTGTTACAGGAAGCCCATGTAAGCGTTCTATAGAGAGTCTAGTTTCAATCTATTGCGATTAAAGTCCACCTCACCCAATTAATTTTACATTTGGAAAGAAAACTTTAGGAGTTATAAGCCACAAATTCACATTAAAAAAATCGAATTTCAAAATTACATATTTTTTATGCTCGTTAAATTCGGCCAAATGATTTTTGGTCGAGCGAGAGGAAGCCTGGGTTGATGACTTAGAGGGAGTAACTCGACCGTCGGTGAATACAAAGTTTACTGTACAATTTCCCCATATGTCATTACAAATCTCGCCCCGTGTAAGAGAATCCGGAATCCGGAATCTAGTTAAAAAACAGCTTTGGAATCCGGACTCCCTATCCAGGAATCCGGAATCTCTATCCTGGAATCCTGAATCCCTATACTGGAATCCGGAATCCAAACTGATATGCTGCACTTTACTKTACTTCATATACGTAGTTTGTTCGTCAGCGTGCGACAAATATTGGAGAAAGTGCAAAATAGTGACGCGCTAGCCTGAGTTACCGGCGCCCTGCGCATGCTACTGACAYGCTGAAAATAATACACTGAAAATCACGCCATTTATTATCSGGAATCCAAAACAAAAATTCTTTGGAATCCGGAATCCCAAGGCTTGGAATCCGGAATCCAATGAATCCTCTAGTTCTCTGGATTCTCTTACATGGGGCGATCCAAATCTATGTTTTCTAAGACTTAACGTGGGACAATCCAACCGGGAACGGCAAATCTAATGCTACTAGATATTAGTCTGACGATTTGAACGTTATTTTATGTCTTGGCTATAAAAATGGAGCCAAAGTGATTTGAGAGATTATCCTGGACGAACAAGTGTTGCGTAGATCTAGGTCTATATCGAGGAAAGGAAAATATAAATTTCTTCATGGAAAGTGCTGACGTACGGGATTTTCGCACGAGTTGGTGATGAATCKTAAATCGAACGAGTGAGCGTAGCCAACGAAAAGCYACATTAGAGGAAAGTGCAACAAGCCTACAAACCTTAATCAATGAAATTGTTTACTATCGGTGGTTGAATTGATAAGCGCGGGTTTCATTTTCAAACATCGAAGTTGTGCTGGAACTGAGTGAGTTTTCGCTGTGGTCTTGGGAAATATACTGGTGGAATGTTTGCATTAATTCTTTTAGATGTCGATTAAAA